GGGGTTCAGTGAATGTGGTGTTGAATGTGTGTAAGTGTGTGAGTGTGTGTGTGTCAGAGACGCTGTAGAAGGACAGAGTGCCGGCCGACACGTCCAGATAGACACCTACTCTATTAGAAAAGGGTGGAGGGGCTGGTATGGCAGTTCGCTTTTTAATGTGCCAGGCAGAGAATTTGTTATCAGAGCAGATCAGACTCCAGGAATTGCCATTGGATCCAAACCCAAAGACACTCCCTCCTTTCCAGTTGACTCCTTTACATGACACTGATATATCAGCATTATATCCACTCCATTCAGCCTCCCAGTAACAGCGTCCAGTCAACCTCTCCCCACACAGAACCTGTTCGCAGTTCTTAAATCTCTCTGGATGATCAGGATACGGCTGATGACCATAAACATATGTGACTTTCCTGTTCTTATCAGACAGAATGAGACGAGAGTGTGCTGTGTTTGGATCCAGTGTGAGATCACAGGCATCTGAACACAAGAAAAGAGAAAAATCTAAAACACAACAGCACAACAATCACTCAACAATCACAGAGTGTGTGCTCGTATGTAGACATACACTTTCGTAGTCCTGCTGTCATCCTGAACTCTCCTCCATGAACCACACTATAAACACACAAACACATTTTAATGTAGATATGTACATGCACACACACATGTTCAGTATTTCAGTATTAGTCTTTGGCATACTTGAGTATCTGCAGTGAGATGTTTGAATCCTCCAGTCTGTCAGAGAGCATCTTGACTCCTAAATCTCCTGGGTGATTGTAGCTCAGATCCAGTTCTCTCAGGTGTGAGGGGTTTGAACTCAGAGCTGAAGACACATATCCACAGCCTTCCTCTGTCACCATACAGCCTGACAGCCTACAGACACACACACACACACACACACACACACACACACACACACACATGGATCTGGAGCGATTTATTGTGGACATTTATAATCAGATATTATTTGCACTAAAGCCATAGGCATGTAGGTGAAAGGTGATTATAGCAAACATTGTATATTATCCGCAAACGTTGCCAGCAAATTACAATCTCACATATACATAACTTAGCTATAATAAGTTATTTATATGTATATGTTAAGGAAAAAAACAAAGACTACTATTTAACCAAGTTCTTAAATATTATATTATACTGCAAAAAAACAAACAAAAAAAAACAACAGGATGCCTTTTTATTGAAGAAAATCACTGAATCTCATATAGTCATTGCTGCAAATGTACAGAATCATTTGAGTAATTTTCTAAAAAGTGGGGCAGTAGAGAGCATTATTAAGCACACACCAACTACACTAGTTTTTCCCAAAATATACAGACTAGTTAAATACCTCAGTATGTGCAGCTGACAGTTTGAACTCTTCAGTCCACCAGACAGCAGTTTCACTCCTGAATCCTGCAGGTCGTTGTTAGTCAGGTCCAGCTCTCTCAGGACACAGTTTGAGGATTGGAGAGCTGATGACAAACTCTCACAGCACCGAGTAGTAAGATTACAAAATGCAAATCTAATATGAAAAATAAAACAAAGAAGTGTATACTGAAACATATACCAAAATTGGAAGTAAACAGACAATAATATCTCATCATTTGAGTTTTGCGTTTCCATTTTCTTCCTAAATTTGTATGACTCCTGATACACACATAATACAAATCCCCACAGAAAAAGAAACTTTTGATTGCAATGAATCAATGGGGTTATTCTGTGATAAAATACAGTTGTATGCTGACTTTTCACTGAGCCAACGATCCCATGTATCTCTCATATCACTCCACACTGTCCCTTCTTACATAATAAATTATTTTACACTTCAATCAATATCAAACCTTAGTATGCGCAGCTGACAGTTTGGGCTCTTCAGTCCATCAGAGAGCAGCTTCACTCCTGAATCCTTCAGGTCATTGTTACTCAGATCTAGTTCTCTCAGGACACAGTTTGAGGATTGAAGAGCTGATGACAAACTCTCACAACACTGAGCAGTGAGATTACAGGACTGTAAACTGGAAAACAAAAACTGTTATCAGTGTTGGCCAGATACCCTAATATAATACCCTACTATTTAAAATTTACACAAATGTATAATTTATACTTTACAATTTTTATAATAAAAGTGCAAAGGCACTTGATTTTCTTGATTTTAACGTCCTTAAGTATTACAAGTAAAATATACTTATCACTTAATTAAACATCACTCTTTATGTGACAAGATCAAGAAGGGCAGTTTATTCAATATTTTATGTACCAATAATCTAGCATTCTATAAAGAAAATGGTAAGTTAAAGTTCAACCACCTCTGAACCAGCTAATTAATATCTTCCAAAACACCTGTCAGTAAATATTAAAATTTCTCTAATATACTAATGTTTCTAGAAATTGTTGTAACTGAACTATGCAGTAAGGTAGATCTCTGGGAAGAGTTTTGGGCATCCTTGGTCTAAAGTTTGGCCCATGTCACCCTGTTAATTTAGAGACCAAATAAAATGACTAACCATGCATGTAAATAAATGTAAAGATGACTCTTACAGTGCTCGTCTAGTGTTTTTGATCACTGGTAGCAGTCTCATTAATGCGTCATCAGATCTTCTGTATTTCTGCAGTTCAAACATCTCTTGAGTCTCTTCTGAAATCAGGAGCAGAAACACCAGAGCCGACCATTGAGAAGAGGAGAGATTTGCTGAAAGATTTCCTGAGCTCAGATGAATCTGGATGTCCTCTGCAAAGTCATCTTTCAGTTCACTCAGACAGTAAAATAGGTTGATAGTTCTCTCTACCTTATTTTCCTTCTCTATTTTCTTTTTGATATAATCAGCAACGTCTTTGACATTCTTGGTTTTTAGTTTCAGTCTGGGCAGCAGTTCCTTCAGGTCACTCTGATTGGACTCCAGTGAGAGACCCAGCAGGAACCTGAGGAAAAGGTCCAAGTGTCCATTCTTGCTCTGCAAAGCCTTGTTGATCGCAGCCTTATGAAAGTCAAATAATGACTTTTTGAAGATACCCCATTTCACTTTGTCTGTCCAAGATTGAAGAAATACAAATCTTCTTCCAAAACATTTGTATCTGAAAAACACGTAGAGAGCAGCTAGGAACTCCTGAACACTGAGATGTACGAAGCTGTAAACACTTCTCATTGAAAAAGCCCTTTCTTTCTGAAAGATCTGAGTGCATAACCCAGAGTACACTGACCCTTCACTGACATCTAGTCCACACTCCTCAATATCTTCTTTGTAGAAAATCAGATTACCTTTCTGTAGCTGTTTAAAGGCCAGTTTCCCAAGTTTCAGAATAACCTGATCAAAAGACTTGGCTTTAGGATTAAGTTCAGGATCATAACAGTATTTTTTCATCTTTTGCTTCTGAGATAGTAAGAAGTTTGTGTACATCGCAGTGAGAGTTGTTGGTATTTTGTCATTGCCCTCTTGAGTCAGTAGAGGTTGAAGAACAGTGAGACAGATCCAGCAGAAGACAGGGATGTGGCACATAATGCACAGGCTCCTGGATTTCCTGATGTGACAGATGATGTTTCCAGCAACCCCAGGACTGTTTTTGATGAAGTATTGCTCTTTTTGCTCATCATTGAATCCTCGTACCTCTGTCACCTGATCAATGTAGTCTCGGGGTATCAGACCGGCTGCTGCTGGTCTGGATGTGATCCAGATGAGAGCAGAGGGTAACAGATGTGTCTTGATTAGGTTTGTAACTATTTTACTCACTGTTGTTTTTACATGCACATCTGTAAATGCATCACTTTCATTAAATCTCAAAGGGAAATGACATTCATCCAACCCATCAAAGATGAACAAGACCTTACAGTCGCCTTCAGGAAGAGAGGGCAGTTCTTCAGGACCACTAAAGAAGCATTCTTGAAGCAGATCGATGAGACTGCAGTTCTTTTTAATCATATTCAATTTACGGAATGGGAGAGGAAATACGAAGAGTATATTCTGATTTTCATTTCCTTCAGCCCAGTCAAGAATGAATTTATTGACAGAGACAGTTTTTCCCACACCTGCGATTCCCATCGTCAGCACTTTTCTGTTTTGTTGACCCATTTGTTCTTTGAATATGTGATTGCACTGGATCGCTGAGTCCTTTGCAGTAGATCGGCTGATATTTAGTTCGATCTGTCTCACCTCATGGTCAATCATTATTCCTCCAGTCTCATTCTCCACCACATATAGATCAGTGTAAATATCATTCAGGTACTGCCGATGACCTGTCTGAGAATTACCAACCAATATCCGCTTGTAGTCCTCTTGTAATTTGTTCTTCAGTCTAAGGCTGAGCTTTCTGTAATAATGAGGATCAGCTTTACTGTCCTCTGCAGTTGAGTCTTTGAGAAAGAGAAAAACAAAATAAAGCAAAGAGTTAAAAAATCTCAAAATACTGAGTTTAGAACTATGAACTGTTCGGATTGAAATAAGTTTGTTTATAAATTTGGTATTTTATTAACACATTTTTATTTAATTTTTAAACTATATAATTAATTGTTACCTGGCCTATGATATCCCTCTAAAATAAATTAACATACAAACACACTTGTATAAAAAGTATGTGTGGTACATGTGCATTTCAGTACTGATGTATTACTGCATCCTCTTTACCACAATTAATAATACTTGCATATTTAGTGAATGTACTGCAACACTAAATGCATTTACATGCTCAATCTTACACTGATTATTCTTAATAAATAGACAACGCTTAATGTCATGCATTTGCTTTGGCTCATGACAGGAACATGAATCTAGCTAAGGAACTGAAGAACATTTCTGTTTTCGTCCTGTTCGCACAAGGAACTCTAGTTCCTGTTTGCCATTTTGTGGAGTATTTTTGACTCCTACTCCGGCACTTTCAAGTAGCCAAGGAATTGAATTCCTTGAATTGCAACTTTTGCAACTTATGATTGGTAAACGCGTGATGCACAAACCAGAGAGAAAGAAGAAGAGCCAGCAGCCACCATGTTAACAGAAGGGTAAACTCACCAGCAGTATACCAGCTCCAGACAAACAATGACACTTAAAACTAACACTTACAACAACAGTATATCTTGGTTCTGTGAAACATAGCAAAACCAATGTTAGCATCTGTATTCAGGCCTTCCTGCTTAGGTCTCTCCAGTGCTGGAAAGCTAATATGAATATTTATAATATTAACACGGGTCCTAAAGCTCTTGCCTGATCATAATTCTTCTTTTTCCAGAGATATTACTCTGACATTTTCTATTTTGTAATGCATCTCAGCCATCCAGTTTTTCTTCAAATCTCCCTCTTGCTCACTCTCTCTCATACCCCATCATGAATGGACACGCCCCCTACTGCTGATTGGCTACAAGCGTGTTGCGGTGCTCGCTCTGATCCTCTTTCAACAGTGTTTCTCAGAAATCGCTTATTGCACCTTTAAGTAAAAGACCTACACGCAGAACACATTGGCCCAAACCAGCGGCTACCATTGTTGGACAAAAGGGTGGTCCTTACAGAACTGAATCCAAAGTTATCACAAGTTGTCAATAATGGCCCTGGTGTATGAGAAAACCCCACAGCACTGTTGAATTGCACATGAGCATAGACAAGCCAAAGATTTATGTGTGTGTGAACCTCTGTAATTGTTGTAAGCATATTTTCTCTTACCTACGCAAAAAGACCATTGACTAAAATATGAATAAACCCCAATACGGGGTAAATAAATAATTCCATGTACAGACAGTGGTCATTATTTACCCAAGATCTGTTTTGAAGCAGCTCCAACAGTGGCAGAAGCATTCATATTGCCCTCAGTCTGAACTGTGAAAGAGGGAGATGAAACAAAATGAAAATGCAGTTACAGAAATCACACTGGCCAAGCAAGAGTTTAAGCTGATACTCATTTATTACTTTAGTCTCTAAATTTACACCATACACTTGTAAAGATTTTTGTTACCTTCATTGTGTTTGTTCTCTAACTGTTCAGCCAGAAGGTTTTGGTTCATCTTCTTAAGGATGTTCACTGTGATCATCACAGCTTCTTCTTGTCCAAAACTTGCCACCATTTTGTCCACTGTGTCTAAGACATCTGTGTTCTCCATTTCAGAAGTTGAAACACACTCATGATTCTTCAGGTACCACTGAAACTCCTTCAGATCATCTTTGACTAGTTCTTTCAGTGATTTCACAAGCTGCTCTTTAACAGATGCCATTGTCCTTCAATGATTCACTTCTGCAGGGCAAGAAAAAAATCTGAACATGTGGATCTGTGTGCACAAATGTTATTTGGATTATAAAATGTCTGCTGCAATACGATCAGGTAATGAGTGATCGACAATGAGTGAAAAGGGAATGCTGTGCTGCAGTAAAACTAACATTTTAGAGTTACATTTTATTTGTTGCTTGAGTACGGAGAAAAAGTGTAGTCAGATGTGAGCGGCCATTCACACTGAAAGTGTTTTGGTGGCCACCTACTCTGTTTTTCAGTAATTTTCCTTTTTGAACATGCACTGGATGGATTCCTTTGACCATTTTGTTTTTGCTTTTTTGTTGCCATTTCTTGTTTTAAAATGTTTGAAACATTTTGTTTTGCTCAGGTGAACCATTGCTTTCACTGATTGTTTGATCTGAACTTTTGAATTGCTGAGTGCAGGAATAGGAAGGAAGATAATCAAGTTTATTTCATGTTTTAAGTTATAGAATGTTAATTTTGTCTATTGTGGCAACAATAGTTTACAGTCAGTTGGATATTCTCCATGTTTTTCAGCTGTATGCCACAGCAAGGGAAAACACCTTCCTTTTACTGGTGTAAACCAATGTAGAACCAAGAACCGCCGCACTGTTAACACTACACCAACAGCGAAGGAGAATGAAGTGAAAGAAGAAATTGTTGAATAAAGTAATTATTTTGGGGGGGTTTTGCACATAAAGAGTATTTTTGTCACTTCATAACATTAAGGTTAAACCACTGTAGTCTCATGGACTATGTTAACGATGTCTTTACTACCTTTCTGGGCCTTGAAAGTTGCAATGACGTTGCTCGCTATGTGGGGTCAGATACCTCTCGGATTTCATCAAAATTAACTTTAATTTCTCTTCCGAAGATGAACAAAGGTCTTACGGGTTTGGAACGACATGATGGTAAGTAATAATGACAGAAATTACATTTTTGGGTGAAGTTGGAGTGTGTTAAAGTAATCCTTTTTTTAAATGTATGTATATGTGTAGAGCTGGTCTGTATAAAGCTGGTCTGACCTTAAATGTTTTTCCTTTAAGTTAATACACTCTTTGGTTGTTTATCTTTATTGGGATCATTTCATTTACTTTTAAAGCTAGGTAAGTTATTTCTAAAAACCCTTAGAAAGAATTTATTTTGTTTGCTACTTTGGCCGTTTCCCCTCCTGTCCATTCTCAGTCATGTGTTTATATCCCACTGATTATTTAAAATAAAACTTGTTATATCTTTTATGTAATTTGAGCTTGTCCTGGGACCTGGAGAAGGGGAATTCTCTCACTCTCTCCCTGCAACTTTTTGTTACCCTCCTCTCCTGCCCCTAGACCAGAAAGGGGGCTCGTAGTCGTAACAGTATCTGAAGCAACAGTCAATCAACTCAAATCAGTGTTTTATGCTCAGGATGTTAAGTTATCTCTTTAATTACATACATTTTAACTTGTAAAGTGTCCAAAGTTAGCCTGGTTAAAACCAGACCATTCTCAGTTGTAACTGAGTTATGGTCTGGCAAAGCGTCATAGACAAATCATTTCCAGAGGGGCGTCACCAACGGAGTCGCGGATAGACCTAAACCCAATCAGAGCGATGAAGGAGATGACGTATGCAGAGCGGCGGAGACACATCTCCGAGTGTTGTTCTTTGCTCGGTTTTTAACAAAAAGGAAACGTTCAAATGGCTTAAAACAGACGCGATAGCTGATTGGAACGAGTGATGTTCGACGGCGGCATCCATCTTTGTAATGTAGGCTACAAAATCTGCTTCAAAATCCCAGCGCTGTCATCATCGTGTAAAGCCCGCCCCAACGTTTCTGATTGGTGCCGCGATTTCGGCGGATTGGAAATGGGCTTGAATGAGCTCTTTGCCAGACTAACTTTCAGAGCAAATCTAAATTTGCCGGAAGTTGTCTGGGTTTTCCCAGGCTAGTCCAAAGTCCTTTCAGCATAATCTTTGTTGCCCATATAGGTACACAGTCGTTTTGCATTCTCAGATAAATATGAGTAAATACACAGGTTAAATAAGTCATGTGAAAAGCAAAAAATAAAACAAGTGAGAAAATCAACCATCACACCTCAGACCTAAAACACATGATCACGAGACTGAAGTGTCTTTCAATCAGTGTTTGTTTGTTATTTAACAAAGATACTGAAAAAACATAAACCATAATCCAGATAAAGGGCGTTTAGTGGTGTTTAATGTGTGTAAGTGTATGTGTGTGTCTGAGACGATGTAGAAGGGCAGAGTGCAGGACTCATTAAACATATTCCTTACCTGATGATCAGTGTGTCCTGCGAGCAGTCAGGTCATTGTTACTCAAGCCCAGCTCTCTCAGAAGAGTTTTAAGCAACGTACAGATTCAACAATTTCACAGGACTGGTAAGTGATAAGTGTGTTTGTTGATGGACACTCTAAATGCATGAATAAAAACAAATATTACAAATCAACTCAATGTATACTGACAATTGTAATATATCATGTACATTCTTCATTATAGTTCAAATGAGAAACACATTGATAATTAGATCAAACAACTGTTACTAGTAGAGACAAGTAGACGTCAAAAGAAATCTGCTGATTCTTGGTTCTTACTAAGAAAAGTTAAAGAGATGGAATGTTTGTTTATTTTATTTGCTAACTCACCTTGAATAATGACGATATTTGTCGATGTTTCTTGCACCTCCTCTGAACTGTCATCTTGACCAGAAGCTCCTTCCACTTGTGAATTTTCATAAAGGACTTTGAGCCCCGAGTGAGTTTCATCTGAATTTCATAAGCCACACCCACTTTTGGAAAATGCCACCATTACATCACATGATCCAGTTAAACCACACCCACTTTTGGAAAATGCCACCATTACATCACATGATCCAGTTAAACCACACCCACTTTTGGAAAATGCCACCATTACATCACATGATCCAGTTAAATTACACACAGGTGAGCAAATGTCGTAGGTATTTATGAAGAGATTGTGTCCAGTAATCCAGGGGTTTCAAAGTGTTTCTAGTTCCTCACCAGCACACAGGGGCGTAGCCATCATTTCAAAAGTGAGGGGGACAGAATGTCAAGTGTAATACCATTTTTTTTTCAGACTTTTGTTGACAGGTTAAGTGGCTTAATATGCTATTTATTTTTAAAGCAATAAAACAGAAAGAAAGAAATGTAGATGTTCAGTACTTTATATTGCAGGTTTTTTCCTGGCTTAAAACGAGGCGGAGGTGGTAAAATCCTGATCATGTATTTTAATTAGATAATAAAAAATGTATTTTTCGTAGACCATCATAGCCTACTGTGTTTCCCACAGTATTTTTGTAGGTGAATCTCGGTAGCCTACTTCTAGGGGGGTACATTTTAAAAATAAATTCATTAATCTGGTGCACTCAGTGCATCTGAGTCCCCCGGATCCACTCTTAAAAATAAATAATCCACCCGTCAACCGCCCAAACGTATAATATTCTCTGATTTAGATATCTGACCATCGCATTACAATTATTCAAATTGTCAGTGTACTGTTAAGCATGATAATATGGTTAAATATCACACTGAAGTAGGCTGATTTAAAAATAGCATTTACTTAAAATAAAAGTTCTTCTTTTGGCAAAATAACATTTCCTTAATAGCCTAAAGTCTGTCTTTTTAGTAGTAGTAGTAGTTTATTTTGAACATGTAGAAAACATAAAAATAAGAATTATACAAACATGCTTTCACATATACAAATAAATTTAAAATAATAGTTATATAAGGAACTGTGCTTCTCAGCACAATCTTCCAAAATTAATAAGTCTTACTAAACTAAAACTTTCCAATTGAAAACCTTCAAACGTCAAGCTTTTAAAAATACTTCAAACTTTGTTGTTAGGCTTTTTCAAGAGAACTTCAAGTTTGTCTACAAACTTTTTTATCTAATTGTAAAGTGTTACCGAATTATGGTAAACATCATAGTCTACACATAGGCCTACTGCCTGATTCAAGTAGATCGTGGATGCATGAACATACAAATTCAGCATTAACAATCACCATGTTTATTCTAATTTGAACGGCTTTGATAACATATCTGTGAAAATAAAAGACATTACGAATAAAAAAATATTGAAAATAGTGCACGTGTGTGCGGGTAATCCGGGTATAGTGAATATTTCCAATTTACAACAAAACTTGTTAATTATTCAACAAGAGAAATAGACAGAGTTCATCATTGTGCAACACAATTCCGATACCACATGACAACTTACTTACAGTGCTTGACTTTTTCGTGAAAAAGGAGTGAAGAGATTTTTTTTGCCGTTTTGAACTCTATGAAACTGATGGATTCGGCGCGGCTGCGAGCATGGGTGTGTCGCACGAGTGACTGATTACCATGGAAGCGTGAAAGTCACGTATGTAAATAGACTATCCTTTCTTTGGATTTTAAATCTCGATGTAGGGCAGGCTATACACACCCGCGAAAACCTCAGCTTGTCATAGACACATTTGCCCTATGAAAAAGTGCGGGGGACGAATTTACATTTTATAAAAAGTGTGTGTGGGGTGGGGGGGGTGGGGGTGGGGGGGGGGGGGGGGGGGGGGGGTAATCTACGCCCATGCCAGCACATTTGAAATGTTTTCCTTCTTAGACACACTGAGCTACGTCTACGATCGAATAATGAGGAGTTCATTCAGCCAGGTTCAATAAGAGAAACATCTCCAATGTTCAATGCTGAGGACGATCCAGTGTCAGTGTGGAAACACATGCAAAAGTCAAAGTGTGACGTTAACTTGTTCTCCACGCCCACATCGCCGTCCTGTGGTGTTTCTCAGATAGTGAGCGAGTCTTCCAGCTTATCTGTTCTTCTACAGCAAGAAACAAACTGAAGGTTTAATATATGACGGGCACCAAAGAGGTATGATTTATTTTTTCTCTATTCCACTTGAGAAAGAAAAACTTCTTTTAAACAAAAGTGATTGGGTTTTTTGCTTGAATTTAAACATATATATAGTGCACACAAAATACTCTGTATGACTGATTCAATCTCCATTTCTGCTGTATGCTCACAGTATTAAAGTCAATGTGTTGCTTGAGGAATGTTAGAGTGACAACCAGAGAATCAAAAAAATATTTTTTACAGAAAGACCTTAAATTTGAAATCCTATTTTATCTGTTTGTTAACCATTGCTATTTCGGTTAAGGCTCCGTACAAAAGCTATTACAGAATGGCATTTCTTAAGTGCATTATCTTATCTAAAATACGGATAGGAACGGGGTATAGCAGAAGCATCCTGGACAAAAAACAATCAAAAACTGTCTTAACTTTAGGACAACACTAATGGTGTCCTACCTTCAAAATTATTTGCAAGCCAAATGTAAAAATCACACAACAACAGCCCTGTCTGAGAATGGCATCACATGTATTGATGATACAAGATGAAGAACAGAGACTTGTGATGGTGAAAAGACTTGAATAAATATTTACAGACTCCCATGAAATATAATGATAGGCTTCGGCTTTTCTACCAAGCTTATCAAAACTTCTCTTTCTGCAGCACTTAATTAAAAGCACACCTATTTAGTTTCTCTAGCGTTTACTTCACAGCCGATGGACTGCTTGGTAACAGACCTGAGAGTTGATTACCGAACTCGATGGAGCGCTTTGAGATTTCCTAACAATATGCTGACGTAGGAAAGTTGCTATACCTCTTCTCTTTCAAAAAAGATCACTTGAACAGCTAGTAAGAGACGAAGGGCTAAATGAGGCAGATTAATGACCATAATAATAACATATGAATTATTACTGCTTGTATTTTTAGACTGATTGTTTTCTACATTGTAATGGGATGGGATTTTTCTTAGAAGCTTTAGGAATATTTCAGTATTATTTGGCAAGTCTGTGTGTAATAAACAGGATAAAGTCACTCACTGTCTCATTATTCAACGGCCTGACATGATGCAGAATATCCCTGTCAGGGTTTATTTAGCAAAACTGGCAGGATTTTAAACTTTACTAATCAAATCCAAAACATTCAATGACCAACAACAGATACAGGATAAAGCAAATCATTAATCGAAGGATCTAAGGGTTCTCAATAGTGTGTAACTTCAAGAGAGCAACCATCTGTTGTGTTTTCTTTAATATATGATTTAATTTGATAATAATTATAATAATTTATGTAGTTGTAATTTGATTTATACCATATTATTCGTTTGTCATTTTTATACTTTATATAACTTATTTCTTTTCAATTGTTGTTTAATCTTCTGATTGTGTGCTTTCAAGGGATGTTTGTCTTCAAGAGTAAGAGATAAACTGTCTCCATTTCAAGGTTTTTAATGTCACAGGATGATGTTGAAGACTTAGGCAACTGCTAAAAAGTTGTGAAATGTGGCACACAGATAGAGGACAGTCTAAACATTAACCACAGCAGTTTTGGAGTCTCTAAATCAATTTCTCTAGCGCCATCAAAGTTTAACTCATGTTTATGAAAATAACTTTAGAACCGTAAGGGCTAAAAACTGTTAGAGTTTTGGGTACCAGACCAGACTTGCTGTTAACGGGTTTTACTGGTTTCGGACACCAGACGAACAAGATCTTTTTTATTCAGATCTGATGTTTCTGACATGGAAATCCATCCGATCTAACAAAATGCTTAGCAATGCAGTGAAATATAAATAAGCTGTAAATGGAGACTGTAAGATATATAAATGCTCCACTTCTGTGTATAATGTAAAAAAAGGCTAATTATTTTGTATCTGTATTCAATTGAAATATAGTTCAATTGCTTAGCATACATCATTGAAGTGGACAAGACCATTAGCATTTCAAAAAAAAAAATGACCAAAGAGTTTCAATATTTTTCCTATTTAAACCTTGACTCTTCTGTAGTTACATCGTGCACTAAGACCGACGGAAAATGTAAAGTTGTGATTTTCTAGGCTGATATGGCTAGGAACTATACTCTCATTCCTGCGTAATAATCAAGAAACGTCACTGCCGTACCATGAGTGCAGCAGGCGTAATGATATGACGCAGCGCCTGAAAATAGTTCCGTTGTGTTGACGGAAGGTGGCCTATTTTCAGGCGCTGCGTCATATCATTATCATTACGCAACTTTACATTTTCCGTCGGTCTTAGTGCACGATGTAACTACAGAAGAGTCAAGTTTTAAATAGTAAAAATATCGAAACTCTTTGGTCATTTTTTTTTTAGAAATGCTAATGGTCTTGTCCACCTCAATGGTGTATGCTAAGCCAGCCTTTCTCAAAGTGGGTGCCGCGGCACACTGGGGTGCCCCCTGACTGTGTCAGGGGTGCCGCCAAAAAATGACGTAGGCTAAAAAAATAAAATAAAATAAAAATCTGACATTTCATATATAAATATATTTACATAAATACATTCTTCTTCTTTTTAAACATATGAACGTATTAATAAAATTGTAAATTCATTTTAGATAAATATATACGGAAATATATACGAAAAAAAAACGGTGTTGCCTACACCGTGTTATCCTCTTTTTAAAATTTGCACCCTGTTGACTTAAACGGGGCAAGTTTTAAACCTGCTTTTAGCCTCTTAACAACCTTAATGTGTCATTACAAGTACACAGCCATGTGAGTGAACACGGTGAATCTGACTGCAGTAAATGTGAAAGATATGAATAAAAATGATGTTTATTCAGCCAGCTGCTCACATACCCGTATTTTCTTCCTATTTTCGGTCGAAGTAGGCGATTGTCGAGTGCGCGCGCGCGATCATTGGTAACAAAGCAACAGTGGAGATTCAGACTGTCAGCTATCAGCCGATGACGGTGCTGTGTGGTGTTCTGAGAATATATCAGCTCAAATGGATAGTTCATCCGAATCAGATGTTGAACACACGGAGGAGGTCTGATCGCGCGCAGCGCGCGAACTCGACAATCGACTACTGTGGACTTCGACCGAAAACAGGATAAAGAGATTATTCCCTGCCTTCGTGAAAGCTCGGATCACAGTTAAGACTGATATATCAGCCCAGGCATCCACGATCCATTGGCAGATAGTGGCGTAAGTCGCCCGGCGCTGTCTCCCCGTCTTGGTGAACGTGTGTTCACCATCCATATAAGGCTCTCCGGATTATAAGGCGCACTGTCGTTTTTTGAGAAAATTAAAGGCTTTTAAGTGCGCCTTATAGTGCGGAAAATGCGGTATATAAAATTAACCATAAAAATCTGTCTCACAAGACCGAAGCAAGACACACACACAACTTGACGCAAGTGACGCAGCGGCAACCCATAGCAACGCGTTATAGCAACAACACCTCAGACTGACAGAAACGTAAAAATAAACGTGAATTTAGGCCACTTTAGTTTTGTACACATTGTCATGTTAATTATAAGCAAATAATTTTTTTTATTGACCACAATATACCAAAAGGTTCTATAAAATTGTTATTATTATTGTTATTGTTATTTACAGTTCGTATTATGCTCTGTTCATTACTGTTCTGTCTAAATAAACAGGACATTTGCATTTACATTTGGGTTATGCAGTGTTTTTAAATTATATTTTACACTGGGGTGCCTTAAGATTTTATGCACTTTTGAAAGGTGCCCTGACTGAAAAAGGTTTGAGAAAGGCTGTGCTAAGCTATGCTAAAAGTGGTACCGCCAGAACCGGAAATCGGCTGAATGGATAAAAAAAACGGTAAAACTCAACAGTTTAACTCTGGGGGAGTTGTAAAATGAGCCTATTTACAAAATAAGTGGAGTATCCCTTTAAAGAAAGCATATTTCTATGAAACTCTTATCTTGTATTTTAATAGATGCCTATATATTCCTCTCTCCTCCTAAGGTACAGGACGATGATGGAAACATTAAATGAATTAGCCCAGCTGAGAGACTCTGGGTTCGGCCGACCCTGGCCCAGACACGGACTCAATCTCCTCTACTGGTTTGCCAATGACTGTGTTTCTTTTGGCAATGACAACATCATGCTCTCTGAATGTGACCCAGCCGACGGAGATTTCGGTTTTCACTATTTTGAGAACAGATATGACGAATATGGGGATCAACTTCTCCCAGACATCGATTTCCCTTACTATGTGGTTGGAAATCTAAATTCACCAGGAGCTGAAGAACTCCCTGAATACGTCTCAGAAGACAACTCTACTGACCAGCACACCAGCAACACGGACCGCATCATTGTCAGTCTCTACGATGAGGAGTGGTTTCATAGAGTTTATGTGACTCAACACCACGACCGCTCAAACTACGATCCAGACGCCACTTACCGGATCTCCAGAGGCCTTCTCATGATCATCAGGAGGATGTGTTTAAATACGTTTCTGGAGGAGATGGATTATAATACATATATACAGCCTTTCTTACCAACACCTGTCTTCAATTACAGACCTCCAACTACAAACACAGTCAGACCAAATGTCACCGCGATCACTCCATCATCCAGTGATTCAGATGACAGTGAGCATGAGATAGATGAGGACAAGAAAACAGGTTATTACACATTCATACCAACACCTGCCATCAATTACAGGCCTCAAACTACAAGTACAGCAAGTCCTCCATCATCCAGTGATCCAGCACACAAACAGCCTCCAGCAGCACAGAGCCATGACACCAAAATCCAGATAAATGACAACGAGAAGACAGGTTATTACACATACATACCTGATCTTTTAGTCTTACCAACACATGTCGGCAATTACAGGCCTCAAACTACAAACACAGTTAGTCCAGAATTCACTGTAATTCCTCCATCATCCAGTGATCCAGCACACAAAGAGCCTCCTCCAGCACAGAGCCATGACATCAAAATCCAGATAAATGACAACGAGAAGACCGTTTCTTTACCAAAACCTGTCGTCAATTACAGACCTCAAGCTACAAGTACAGTCAGTCCAGAATTCACTGCGGCCACTATATCATCCAGTGATCCGGCACACAAAGAGCCTCCTGCAACACAGAGCCATGACACCAAAATCCAAATAGATGATGACACGTCTACACAACAGCACTCAGCGAACCTACCCAAGAAGAAGGGATTATGCAAAAGATTCTGCACCATACTGTAAAACGGACTATCATCTGCAGCCACACTCTAATGCTCCTGGGAAAGTCATACGATTCTTTACCACAGAATGTGCATTGCAGTGATTTTGGTTGGACTCACTGGACAATTTCATATTTATCTTGCCTACAAAGACAGAAACTAAAAAATAACTAACATTTTATCATTAATTTTTATCAGGACTGATGGGAAATTTGAATTAGATGTCCTCGAAACAGCTGATTTTTTTTTTTTGTGAGCTTTAATCACCATTCTTTTTCACCATATAAAACAAAATGTGTGACAACTCAACATTCACAAACTGATGATTAATAATTTTCTTCCTGCACTGTAAAAAAAATTCCTAATTTTACAGAAAATAACTGTGATTTTTTGACGATCATTTTCTTTCATTTTAAATTGTACTCAAAACACTGTAAAATTACAAATAATATCTGTCAAATAAAAATTCAGCTGTTATTTTAGGTATTGTGACATTAATGACAAATTACAGTAATTCACATTTTTTATACAGGAAATTGATTGTATTTTTCATACATTATTTTTTCTGTTTTCTTAAATTACATAAAATGTATGTAAAATTACAAATATAATCTGTAATTAAACAGTAACAAAACAGTTAAATGATAAAACGGTAAAATGACTGGCAGCCCCCAAAAAACTGTAACATTAAAGTAAAAAATCCTAAATTAAATAAACTGAAAAACACTGTGATAATTCAGGATATACCTGTAAAATAACAATCATATACCTTCAGTGGGAAAAAAAAATCGTAAAAAAAGGGTCAAATGACTGGCAGCTACGGCTGCCAAACAAAAACCATAAAATTAAAGTAAAATCTTCTAATTCAAATAAAACAAAAAAACACTGTTATTTCACAGGTATTTCCTGCATTATTATGATCATATCCCTTTATTGTAAAAAAATCGTAAAAAAAGGGTGAAATGATTGGCAGCTACGGCTGCCAAACAAAAACCATAAAATTAAAGTAAAATCTTCTAATTAAAAAAAAACAAAAAAAAAAACACTGTTATTTCACAGGTATTTCCTGCATTATTATGATCATATACCTTCATTGTAAAAAAATCGTAAAAAAAAGGGTCAAATGACTGGCAGCTACGGCCGCCAAACAAAAACCATAAAATTAAAGTAAAATATCCTAATTTAAATAAAGTGTAAAAAACTTTAATAGAAATGTGATGTCACCATGATTGAGATCAGTGTTTGCTTTAGTTGGGCTCATGACTCTTGAGTTTCAACATTACTTTTTCTCTGGTTGCTTTAACTGTGTTTTGATGCACATTTATTATGGCAATAATTGCAAGAGAAAATATAAGATGATTTTATAGTCATCATATGATGATCTGATTCATTGATATGACAGTCAAACCTCTATTGGCTGTGAATACATTATATATAGATTGACTTTAGTGTTATACAAAGTTATACTTTTTTTCACATGATTTGTTGAAATATTGTGGGATCAGTATTATAGCAATCTCAAATTTAAAAAAATTATATATTCTACATACATTTTTTTGAGTTGGCTTATTTTGTTAGGAGTATGGAGACATCAAGAATCAACATATGAATCTCAACAATGGTGACTATCAACAAAGCCTTTTTGTGACTTTATAATAGGTCAGATTTTTTTTTCATTGTCACCATTGTTGAGATTCATACGCTAATTCTTGATGCCTGAGTGAGTCTGTATGATCCTGTCAAAACATTTTTTGCATAATGACTTCATAAAATCTTATATAACAGCATTGTAGGATCTTCTATAGCAATACTGGCATTCTAAATTAACATTTTACAACTTATTCAGTCATTAAAAAGTCATACCAATCAGGTGGTATCAATACAGCAGACAATTGATTGATGAATATTATCACTATTAAGTGACCAACATCATCTGATCTGAGTTTCTCTCGATTTCCTACATTAATAAATATGCATCAAAGACATGCAAAGTTAAGAGAAAAACTAATGTTAATATATGAAGGGTCAAGAGCCCAACTAAAGCAAACACTGACCTCTATCATGGTGACATCAAACTTTATTATTTTCAATAAAATATCAACTTCTAAACCTCTGTTATTTCTCAATAGGAATGTTAGTATGAAAGAAGTCTGGATTGTAATAAGTGAAGATGCTGAGATCTTGAGAGATCTGTTAGTGTTTAATGTTCTGCTGGGATGTAAAGTGTTTCTGTATGGTGTGTTTTGTGTGTCACCATTGTGTTGAAGAGTAGAGCCTGAGCTTCAGTCCAGGATGAGCAGAGAAACACTGATGAAATGTTGTGTGTTGCTTTATTTAACAGACAGTAACTGTGTAGTTGCTGATGACATATAATCAGTAAATCATGCGTGTAGTTTATAGCAAGATATTTACTTTTTACAGTGAATATGTTTTTTTAGTAAAAATTCAGTAAATATATATATATGTGAAAGAACAGTGTTTCTGTTAAAAAGCTTAATGAAGATTTCTGCAATAGTATTTATTATTTAAATTAGGATATTTTACATTCATTTTATGGTTTTTGTATGGCAGCCATTGCTGACAGTCATTTTACCTTTTTTTCACAGTGAAGGTATTTGATCATAATAATTCAGGAAATAACTGTAAAATAACAGTGTTTTTCTGTAAAACATTTAAGGACAAAGTTTGGAAAAGTTTTTTGCACTCAATTTAAATTAGGATATTTTACTTTATTTTTACGGTTTTTGTTTGGCAGCCGTAGCTGCCAGTCATTGACCGTTTTTTTACGATTTTATTTTTTACAGTGTGGTTTTGGAGGCTCTGTGTGATCACTGGTACTCAACACCTTCGGCACAGAACTTCTGCTGTTAACGTGACGTGACAACATACAAATATAACTGGCATTGAATTTGTGCTGTTTTTGCAAAGACGTCGGGCTAGTACATGTCTACATACACTTACAATTAAACAGCAGACACTGACAAGTGTGTTCAATGTTTAACTAACAGCATCCCGAGTTCTGCTTGAGCACATTTAGCCTTTTTAAATGCAAGATTAATAAATGCTTACAAGGTACTAATATTAACAAACCATGGCTTATTGTAAAGCTTAACAGAAAATTCTCAGTTTTGAACAAATATTTTAGTGGCAAGAAGTTTTATGAGATACTCAAATGACAATCACAAAATGGATATAACGCTCTCTACGATGAAGAAATGTAGGCAAGACAGACAAAAAAGCAACGGTTTCAAAATAAACACAAGTTTGCTCGATTCTATTAAATAAAGGTGTATGTTTGCATAAAAATTAATCACTGCGATAAATATTGCTGAGAAAACTGAATGTTCGTGACCTAATGCTCCTTGAAGGTCTATGTAAGCATTGTACAATAATAAATCCCATTTTTAAAATCTATAGCATATCTTAACTAAAATGATTGACTATTAATGCTCTTTGTTTGCTTGCTATTTGTTTTAATAATGGCAAACTGCGACGGTGCCATACGTTTAAACCACGCAGAGAACATAACGTCATGTGACTGAAATATAAGTATTGTAATTTTTTTAACCAATATTATCTATTAAACCAGGGCCTGAATTTCATTGTATTTAGTAAAAGTAATCAAAATGTAAAATAACACAACACAAATGATTCAGGCAATAGCAGTGAGTGATTTTCTCTTAGTATTTTGTTGAATATTAGGCTGCTGTCACTTTAGGACCTAATGCACAGATCCAATATACTGATGCACGTGTTTTCTTTCTCAACGGTTTATGTCCACTTAAGACATCACCAACATTGAAACAGAACTCAATGTTGTTCTGGGCAGTTTTTTGCGAGGCGACTTTATGGTGTGCGCTTTGAATGTGAAGAGTGCACAGAAAAGCGTCTCTTTTAGAGAGCACGCGAGTACTGGTTTAAAATCTGACTGGTATTCTGACTATGTGGATTCATTTACTCATTTAACCTATTTAACGTAACAGTGAATAAACGTTGTCCAGCATTATAAGCGCACAACCTGCATAAAACTATGTGCAATAGACAATAGATCATTCCAGGGCGAAATTAAGGCCCAGATTAAACCTATTCTATTATACAGATATTTGTGAAAATAATTTCCATGACTTTTCAAAACTTTTTCAGCCCTGGAAATTACAACCAAGTGACTTTTCCAGGTTTCTCATGACCATACGAACCCTGGTATTCAATGGAGGCCACTGCTTTACATTAATTTTGTTAATCTTACATGAGGTACAGAGCTTTCCTTACATTTTTATCCTTACAACTTTTAATCATGAAAGATACATTTTGTAAATGTATACATATATTTGTGTGTAAACCAACATTTTTATTGTATGTATTAAAACAGACTCTTTACCTTTATTGCTACTTAATATATGATATGATGCTTTTGACAGAGGAGAAAGTGATTGAATGTTAACATCACATCATGTAAACATTACACTCTTGGTAGAAGTCTCAGACTCTACATATATATATTGATATATTGTCCTTATTATCCTTTTATTTTTCTAGTTTAATCTGCAAATGCTGCGTAAAAACAGCTTGAATAATGCCTTTCTGTAGTCAAGGTCGGTAGGCCTGCAAGAGTCTAGGGAGTCAGATAAATGTTCCCAGTAAAAAATATTTACACGTAAGAGAAGCATATTATGGGATGTTGAGAAAGTCCAAAGTGGATGAAGATGAACATGATAAAGGAGGGCTTATGATAATCTGTTTATTTTGTGTTTATCCAATCAACTTTGAAAGTCTTTGTTCAAGCATAAATGCATATGTAAGATTTTACTGAATAAATACTGTATTTTAGAGATCATGTTTCGTGGCTCTCTGATGTATGCTTCGGTGTAAAAGAGAATAAAGACACATTTTATTTGATCATTTTACCATTAAGTGGCCAGAATTGAATTTTACTGGTGAATTTTGCCACTTGTTTACCCAAAAAAGGACTTAAATTAGAATAATACGAGCAAAAGTGAATCATCCAAGGGAGAAAACACTAGT